GATAGAGAATCACTGGGTGAATGTGTTTTTCTGTACATGTGTTTGTGTGTGTCCATGTCCGGGAGTGCGGGGACAGTCCACGCGCTACCATCTGCTCTGCATTTAGCCAGACAGACAGAGGAGGATTGTGCGCCTGTTAATAGGAACTCTGCTGTAAAGCGGCAAGGCCGGTCCATTGAAGGCCTCCCCTTACATGATGAGCCTGCGTCCTGCACTGTGCCCCTGCTTGTCACGCTGTCTTCCCCGAACCCCGATGCCGGGTCGCGATCATACCTGGTGCCGCGTCGTGGGGACCCACCTCTGCCTGGCCTCTCCTACTGCTGAGTGACGTGGCCTAATTCACCGTCTCAGTTTGCACGATTCCTTCAGAAACTGGGACGTGACGATCCATTATGGATTACTCTTCTAAATATATTCCACATAGATATTTTAGGGTAGATTTCCTTAATAAAGCCGTTATCATAAAAGAATTATATTTATTTTAGCTGTGTAGGTGCACACAGATCTGTTAGATTGGACCATGCTGTGGATGGATTGGAAACATGGTTCTGGTTTATTGGTATGTGAAACCTGCAAAAAATGGCACCCTGCACAGAGCTGTGGGTATTTACCTTTGTTCACAAGCTCAGAAACAAATAAGCTGCTTTCTTTTGCGGTTGACTTCTGCACGCATTAATGACACACTGAGTCTGTAATTCCCCTGTCCTGTCACACAGCCATCCTGCTTCTGGGGAGCTTCGCTGCTTTGCGGGCCTCACATATGAATCACACAGCCTTTTGGTTGTGAAACGTCAGAACAGGAATTATCTTTTGACAGTGCTGCCCTCACTGTGTTTTCCCAGTGCCCAGTAACTGTCTGGCGTGCGGTTTCTCTGGACCGCTGTGGCCTTGCTCAGTATCCTGGCACAGTGCTGCCCTCACTGGGTTTTCCCAGTGCCCAGTATCTGTCCGGCGTGCGGTTTCTCTGGATCGCTGTGGCCTTGCTCGGTATCCTGGCGCAGTGCTGCCCTCACTGGCTGGTGTTGCAGATTCAGACAGCATGGAGCTAATGACTCTTAGAGGGGGGAAGGAAATTATGGAGATGTGGGTGGGGTGGAAAAGATGTAGACTTTCTGGCAGCATACGTGACTAGTTTGGTGAAAGCCACAATGAAGGATTCTTATGGTAGATCTGAGTGAAGCCCTCAGCACAGATGCAGGGCGGGGCTGAAGCTCAGCAGTACATCCTCTGGACCACTTTGGCCATGACTGTCATCAGCAACCACAGAGGATGCTGGGGGGTGGGGCGATTCAGTAACCGTCGTCCAGCAGTGGTAACACAGCCACCTGTGTTCTCAGCTAGTCAATGCAGTACTGGTTAACGGCAGCCCATGTTGTCAGCTGGTTAACAGTGTTCTGGTTAATAGGTGGTGGGTGTTGGCTGGCCCAGTTCATCAGGGAATGCGTAAATCACTTTGCTGATGAGGGGCCACTTGTCCCAGGTCACAGTAACACAGTGAGACCCCTCTTTCCATGGTTTCCATGGCTCCTTCACGTATTTGACCCAAGGTAAGGGGTACATGGTCCATGGCTGGCCAGCATGACTGATGCATGACTGAGCCCCCTCCCCGCTGTCGGCCTGTTCATCCTGCCTACTGGCTCCCAGCGGCGGGGGTGGGATCGCTTTTGGTGGAGCCTTTTGTCTGACCTTCTCCTCATGGAAACTGTATTTGTGTGGGATTTTTCAGCCTCTGCCCCACCTCTGCGTCCCCCACCCCAGTACATTAGCCCTCACTAGACCTTCGGGAGCAGAAGCTCTCAGCCTCTTCTGGGGTGGAGCCTTCATGCCTCTCCGCAGTCTGGGGCATGCCGTCGAAGGAGACTGCGCACAGCCACGTGGCACTAACACGTTGTGATGGGACCTCTCCCCTGGGTGGTGCCGTTCAGCCACCCAGGATGGGTTAGCCAAGGGAGGGCCTTGAGTCCCCCCAGTCTGTCTGCCCAGGATGGGCACACACACCTTGGCCGTGATGCTTGTGCTGGCAGGTCGCCTCAGAGGCCAGGCCTCGCTCTCTCTCTGCTTCGCGCAGTAACATTACGCCCCATTTATCTCTCCACTTCATCTCGCTGTCTCTCTCTTATCTTGCTCTCTTTAGTCTCATCATCGATCTATCTATCCCCTCTGGGATAGGGCCTGTGTATTCGGGTCGCTCGACAGAGCTGTCAGAGACCAAGGGGGCCCCTGGGTATGGGGCGTTGTGTTCCCCCTTGAAGACAGGGGCGCTGTGGAGCAGGGTGAGGCTACGTAGATCTGGCGAGCATGAAAAGGTGACCTTCAGAAATGCTCGACCTCCGATTCCTATTATTCCTGGCATTCTCTGTCATGCCGGAATAATAGATAAAATAATAGGAGATTGTCAAAGATAGGGAGGAAATGGTGTGTTTCCTTCATCACTGATAGCAAGAGTGTATGCCTGTCTGTGTGTTTGTGTGTGTGTCTGTGTGTTTTGCACTGTGGCTACTTCCGAAGCTCACTGTGAGTTTTCATATCGAAGCCTTTTCTACTGTATTGCCTGGGTACCAAGGTCTAATACCTCTTCTCAGCCTCCCTAATATGAAGATGATCAATACCTTCCTCATTCGGTGACTGCGGCTGAGAGACATCGACGAGTGGCGCTTTTCGAATTCTCATAGAGTCAGAAGCTGAAGAAATATGAAAGTGTAATGGAAGTCTGTTTGCATTTCAGGTAAAACACAGGTCATTGCTGCAGCCGTTATTTGGGATGGATTTACATGTAAAGAAAAAACAAATGCAAGCCTGGTGTCTGAGCTAGATCAGGAGAGGGGTGTTGTTAATCTCCCATCCGTTTTGTGTCTTGTTTCTCTGTAGCGGTTGCAAGGAAAGTGTTGATTTGTTTTGACCTAGAACAGGACAAGACAGAGCTGCCTATAGTACACAGAGAATCACACACGGGGATGACAAGTCTGTGTGTGTGTGTGTGTCTGTGAGCGCGTGTGTCTGTGTGTGAGTGCTTGTGTGTCTGTGTTTGTGTGTCTGTGAGCGCGTGTGTCTGTGTGTGAGTGCTTGTGTGTGTGTGAGCGCGTGTGTCTGTGTGTGAGTACTTGTGTGTCTGTATGCGCGTGTGTCTGTGTGTGAGTACTTGCGTGTCTGTGTGTGTGTGTCTGTGATCGCGTGTGTCTGTGTGTGAGTGCTTGTGTGTCTGTGAGCGCGTGTGTCTGTGTGTGAGTACTTGTGTGTCTGTGTGTGTGTGTCTGTGAGCGCGTGTGTCTGTGTGTGAGTGCTTGTGTGTCTGTGAGCGTGTGTGTCTGTGTGTGAGTACTTGTGTGTCTGTGTGTGTGTGTCTGTGAGTGCGTGTGTCTGTGTCCGCATGTGTGTGTGTTCTCAGCGGCATACAGGAAAAGGCGCAAGCTGATATTTCTGTAGGTGTGGAACAGCCTCCCAACGATGTTGCCTTGGCACCGAGCGGCGAGACATCCAAGGAGGACGAAAAGGTCACATGACAGCCCATCTTGTTTTCCTTACCGTCTGCTATTGGGCTCTTATTTTCTCCCAGTTTCAATGTCAGAAAGAGAGAGAGAGAGAGAGAGTGACTGATCAAAGCTCCTGCTCGGGTCCCGAGCTGCACCCCAGTGTCGGGTGGCACCCAGGGGTCACAGCTGCCCACAACAAAACACTAACTGATTCCTCATTGGTCATTTCCTGAAATCCGCTGCCCCCACCCAGCAATCCCTGTGCTTGTGTATATGCGCTGAATTATTAAAATGCTCCTCCTGTAAACTCCTGGAGGAGGTGTCTGTCTGCCTTTTCACAGTGCAGCTGATACAAATGGGAAAAGTAATTACACCACCCTGAGATCCAGACTGGAGGAACATTTGACCACTGTGATGTCATATAGTCACTGGGCAGGTGGGGGGGAGTCCTGTTAGCAAGCCACCTTATCCTCTGTGATGACCCCAGGGCTCATGTAACAGCGGGTTTGTGCTGCGCCAAGTTTTAGGCTATTAATCCTGACATTGGGACGCGCATCCTACCAGCACCCCACCCCCATCCTACCAGCACCCC